TATATTTAAAAAATCCCACTTATCCAAATGCTTCCCTTGTTTAAATTAAGAAATATTATATATAGTATAACCAGAATACAGCAGACTCTTGTGTTTTGAGACATTTCCCATGCCTTTAATTGGGATCCTTTACTTCTTGGATCTCCTTCTTGATCCTCCTTCTGCATTTTTGTTTCTTATCTCTTATTCTTTTAAGTACACCATTCACTTTGGATAATATTCACCTTAGTAGATTTCTCTTAATTATCTTGAAGGATACCATCTCCAAGTAGTTATATTCTGAGATAATGGATATTAGGACTTCCAAATAAATTTTTTAAAGACAGTTCAACAAATACATAAGATACTTATGAAATATTTGTTGAATAAACCCACAGAAGAAATTTCTGAATTTTTAAATTGATTTTTTTATTATGTAGCTTTACTTACTATATCAAAATTTCTGACAAAAGCTACTCCGAAAATAGAGATAAAATTACTTCACAGTTTTTTTTCTTTTTTGCATTTTTTTATTAGTTTCTCAAGACAATACAATGATCTTGACATATCACACATTTGATTCAATTGGGGTATGAATTCTCATTTTTCCATGGGTACAGATTGCAGGATCACATTGGATATACAGCCACATTTATACATACAGCAATACTAGTGTCTGTTGTATTCTGCTGCCTTTCCTATGCCCCCTCCCCTCCACTCCCCTCTTACAGTTACATTTTTATGGAAGTCAAAATGTCATAGTCCAGGCTCTGGGTCAGGCCCCATGGTGAGTAATGGGAGTGCACATGGAGTTAGGGTCATATCTCCAGGCAGAAAGCAGAGAGTTGGATGGGGAAAGGCTTGTTCCTTTATAATAAATCCATCACAAGACATCTAGGGATTGTATGAGAACTACATGATCTAAGGACTATTACTAGGGCCCCCCTCTCAAATTCCACAAAACCTCCCTATTCTGCTACTCTTGAGACCAAGCACCAATCAAATGAATGCCTGAGGAAACAAAATTAAACCAAATCTAAACCATAGYATTATCCAATGAGACCCAAGATTTATGTTCATCTCAGCTACCAATTCAAATTAAAGTTTTAACAAATGATATATAACCTATTATGAGGTACATGAAGAAAAAGAAGGGAAGCCATATGAGGTCATACATCAAATTTTGAATGTCTATGCTACATGAAAATTTTAAAATAACAAATTTCATGAATTAAGGGGGGAAGAATAATTTATCTACTGAACACTAATATTTTCTAAGAGATGTTAGTAAACTTCTTTATACTGACAAATTAAAAATAGAAATATGTTTCCTAATGAGAGCTAATAATGAGAAAAATAAGAAAGGGTAGAGGTAGTAAGCAGAGAATAGGATGCAGTGAGAATAGGATGCCCATCCCTTTGCTCTGTTGTTTGGAACAAACAAATAGAAATGAATGCATTGCTGATGATATAAAGAAATAAAAATATGGGGCCAGGGCATGATGAGTCTTCAATAACCCAAAGATATACTTTCTTATTTAGTAATAAAACTCAGTTTGAAAGCTCACATTGCTTATATTCTTACCTAGGATCCTATTTGGCAAGGCACACAGAAGAGCAACTACTTACAGTAGGTGGAGTGAAAGGGATGGAAGAGGGAGGCCAATATGTGAGTGGAAATGGTGCAGAGGCTCAGATACATCCACATTAAAATGAAGCCCCAGATGACTATGTTCTCCAATTTGCTCACAATCCCAGAACAGGAAATCCCAGGGGCCATTCAGAATCTTAACAGCTGAAATTGGTCCCTAGCTTTATATACTGCTTCCATAAGCATCTCTCCACTTGGAGAACAAAGAATTATACCTTGGTGTCACTTTATCTGAGAAAGACTCTCTCCTGTCAACACAGCTCAGCTCTCCACCTCTGGACAGGAGAATGGCAGAAAGGTAAGAAGACTCAGAATTCCTGTTATGTATGGGGTTTGTTCTTGCTCTGGATTAACATGCCTCTGTTTCTACTGTAGKGTTCTACCTATTGAGGGTCATGGTGCTTCTTTCAGGGAAAGGCAGGAGACATAATCATACTTCTGAAGCCTGGTTGCTCTAGCTCTTACATTGAGTTTAAAATGGGGTTCATTAGATCTTTCCCATTCTGATTTATCTCTCATTATCCCCTCTTCTCAAAATTTAAACCTGATCTCATGGATAGGTTTCTGCTTTTCCTAAAATTTATTTAAAAAGTTAAGCCACAGGGAGATATTGCTTACTTGAGATAAGAGGCTATATATATAATTGGTTTCATTGCTTTCACTTATTGTTCAGAAAATAATATCCCCTCTTAATTCTAAGATTCTGACAAGAAATAGTTGCTTCAAATTGTAATAATTCAGGAATATCCAGGAAGAACTAGTTACAAAGATGTGCAGTATTAGGGGAACAATAGCAATGCATGGTGAGTTGCCCTAAAAAAAGCAGAAATGAAGCACTGTTTCCACACCGAGTAAAAGGGACAAAGGAAGGAGAAGCTACCAGGATGGAACATAGACATAGCTGTAGCTGTAGTACTAAAGGATGACCAGGCAGGTGGAGAAGCAGTGCAACTACCAGCACACTGCCTAGCAGGAGAGAGTTGGAAGATCTCAAACTCAAATCCCTCCCTCCCATTCTCTATTGTCTGGATTGTATCACCAGKTAGGTCAGTTCAACCAGAAACAATAAGGAAAAGGATGCTATGGATGGTGTTTGAAGAAGCCACTAGCTTGGAACTCTATCAAGACAGAAATGAAGGATGGAATAAAAACTGTCAGGACACATAAAACTATCCCTCACCACTCCTTGTATCTTCCTACAATCTAGAGAATTCTCAATCTGATATCATTGAATCCATTCCCATTTTATCTCCATTGAAATAATTTTTCCTATATACATGTTAATTCTCTTGAATCAATTTTATGTAACAATCACCAATATTAATAAAAAATGCCTTGAAAGTTGAATGCCATTTTAAAAGGAAAAGCTATTTTCTTGTTTGGAGTGAAAGTGTGGCTCAAAATGAACCACTACTCACCTTCACAGGATACGTGCTAGACCTGTGCTGTAAGCTCCAGAGCATCAGAGGCAAGAAATTCTTTGATAGTGCTGCTGTGCAACCCTGGGAGGTTCCCATCATCCTGTGKTCCTAAAGGACTTACACCCATATCAGAATGGATGCCTGTGAGAAAATAAAGAAGGAAATGCAGGCTAKGCTCCTTCTATTAATCCTATAAACCAGGAATTGATTACATCCCTGTCCTCACTGCCTTTGGTTAGGGCTTAGTCATGTGGTGATATCAGCAGTAAGAGAGGAAGGTAAATGGAATATTGAGACCTAMAAACCAAATAATCACTGTTCAGAAGACAAAAAAATGTAATGCAGGACCATAGAAGTTGTGAGACAGCAAAGGGCTTCTGGATTCTCATATCTGTCCCTGATTTCTACCTACTTCCMTTTTGTACCCTATTGGATGGGCTTTACTTTCTCTCTGCTTCTGAACTGTGCTGAGGCTAGATTTCATTTTATTCGMAATTTGACTGCCATCTGAGATTAACTTGCRATTTACTCCTCTGGTTTTCTCTCATCCACATTTAATTAACACACTGTGGTGGTGAATTCAAAAGCTGTAGAACCTGAGGTGCTGGAATCCACACTGTGTGATACCAGCTTTAATAAATCGTCCTKCTTGTGCTTCAATTTCATTCTCTATAAAAATGGGACAGATAGAAATTCTTACCTTATCAGCTTTTGAGAGGATTCAAAGAGAAATTATGTGGTGCACTCTAAATTAACTCCTGTTAATCATTAAGATATGAGTGGAACCCTTTACTTGTTTTAAATGTACTTGAAAACTTATTTTTTAATACCTCAAGTGTAAAATCTCTCTTTACACCTTAAGCCAAGCCCTCTTTCAATTTCACTTCATATACTCATCTCACACAAAAGCTATCATCAAGAAGATACTGTTACTGAGGATTTCCTGGGAAGGAATGGAGTAAGTTTATATTGTACACACCACTAAAATCCTCCATAGTTATACTCCTATTTAAAATACCTCTTTTCATTGGCACTCACACCTTACCCAAATTCATACTCTCCTGTTCTATACTGTTGAGAAATTCAGCTGAGATACAAATCTGACCACCCCACCCTGCACTGTGCACCAAAGACCTCTAGGTGCTAAACAAAGCCACCTTCAATCCACACTCCAAAGGCACATCARTAGTCAACATCAGTCATTTGGTCACATAAAAATAATTCTAACTACACCAATACTGCTC